TCAGAAGATAGGACCGCGGCAACATCATGACCATGCAGCAAAACCGTGGACAAGGCAAATATCACAATATGCTAACATGCTGTAAAAGCATCTTCCCTAGTACACTATAAAGCACACAGAATTTGGGAATGCTGCATGTATGCACCGCAGACCCCCCTGAAACGCTAAACACTGGTTACTGCTGTTGAACCGAGTCGGGACCAGCTGGGGCAATGTAATTACTCTGTCATTCGTCTTCGACTGGGGAAGCGCGGCTGGCTGCCGAATTGTGCGTGCTGAAACCGTTAACTGCTGGTCGAACAGGCCCGTGCCGCCGGCCGAGCCACACCGCCTGCGGCCGTGGCCTTGGCCCGGCTTGGGCCCAGCAGCGATGAGGCCAACAAGGAGGCACTGAGGACCTCTAGCATGTTGGGGTCTGACTTAGGGCTTCGGGCTTGGGTTCAGTTTTTGCGCAACCTCGTTCACAGGTTTTGCATGCACAGCGCCGACGATTGTGAGAGCTCGCACGAGTGGTTCTTAAGCACAAATCGCAGCCTGGGTTGCCCGTCGAGAGGCAGCTGACGCGTCGCAGCCTAGCAAGCGCCCCCGCGTCGAGAGCGGGCCCTTGACCAAGACGTTTGAGGTAGAGTACTAAGGCCTCTTCTGCTTCCAGCGTGGGCAGACACTACTCAAAGGCATTTCTACCGATCTTTGCTGCTCTTGCTTACTGCCTCGGGTTGCAAATGCCGTGAGCGGCCCATCCAGCTGTTGATCGCCTCCGTTCTCGCGATACTATACCTTGCACCAGAAACTAATTCCTGTCTCAGCGGTCGCAGCAATTGATACTACGACGACGACTACTACGACCGCCACGACCACTACTATGCTACTGCCCCGACTTGCTCTTACCAGCATTTCTGCTGCGACGACATCTGCTGCTACTTCTACTACTACCACCACCACAACAACAACAACAACTGCTACTACTCCTGCTGCTACTACTACTACTACTACTACTACTACTTCTTCTACCCCACCCCCCACAACAACTGCAAAAACAACAGCAACAACAACAACAACTACTACTACTACTACTACTACTACTTCTTCTACTTCTACTACTACTGCTACTATTACTACTGCTACTACTGCTGCTACTACTACTACTACTACTACTACTACTACTACTACTAACTGCTAACTGCTCCTTGCACTGCAGAACCTGACACCTCTATGACTCCGCGAGCCAACGAGTCTGAACGAAGCAGTAAAAGTAGAAGTACTAGTAGTTAGTAGTAGCGTAGGCGTAGTGGTAGCGGCAGTAGTAGCAGTAGCCGCAGCAGCAGCAACAGCCACAGCAGGAGGAATAGTGGTTAGTCGTCGTCGTAGCAGGAGCAGCAGCAGCAGCAGCGGGAGGAGTAGTGCAGTAAGTGGTGTTGGTAGTACCAGTCGTGGCAGTGGTTTTGGAAGCGGTAGTGGTGGTCCGCAGTAGTGGCCGTCGTCGTCGTACTCTTCGCAGTCGCCGTAGTAGTGGTAGCGGTGGTAGTAGCTGTGATCGTCGTAACAGTAGTTGTCGTCGTCATCGTCGTAGTCACTATCAAAGTCGAATTCTGGTAGTGGTAGGGGTCGCGTGGTGGTAGTGAGGTGGTGGTGGTGGTGGTGGTGGTATTGATAGTCGTAGTTGGTGGTCGTGTAGTAGGAGTGGTAGTAGTAGTAGTAGTAGTAGTAGTAGTAGTAGTGGTGTAGTAGTAGCAGTAGCAGGAGAAGTAGCAGCAGCAGTATTAGTAGGAGTAGAGCAGCACTGGTACGGCACGGCCTATGCCGTAAACGACGTCCCAATATGCGCCGAGCTGTTCCCAGGCCTAGCAAAGTCCGGCTACGCCAGGTTCCCATGGCCGTCACAGGGTTGGGCTTGTGCTCCCTTGTGATCTCCTTGTTTTATAACGTCTCGGGATCCTCAGGGTTCGTCTCCACTCCGACACACGTTCAGAATCAGTATTCTCCCTTGGATGCATGGGAGCCTGCTTAGACTTCATGGGGGACAGGTTGCTGTTTCAGTATGTCACTACAACGATTAGCATAGTCGAAAACTCGATCTTGATGTTGTATCTGGCGAGAGAAGAACCGCCCAACGTGGCTTTCGCGAACTGCGGCCGCGGCCAGCACCCTCGACCGAAAGAGTTCGTCGATTGTAGGGGCCTTGCACAGTCACTGATACTATTCCGTGGGTTTCTTAAGAAATGAAAATGTTCGACTATCTGTATGTATGTGTGTATATATATATATACACACAGCATGGATGTGTGCGTGTGTGTCTCTTTATGTGTATGTTATGTTGCAGTTGCACTTGCAGTCGCAGCAGCAGTAGCAGCAGTAGCAGTAGCAGTAGGAGTTGTAGCAGGAATAGCAGTGGTAGTAGAATATTATCCAAACCCTTCTGTACAGCCCAAGAGCTCCTGACCCGGCAGGTTCTCCTCCGCTATGCCGGGTCTAAGGAGGCGAAGGATCCGGTACGTTGCTGGGATCTCCAAAGATTTCGCTGAATGTTCTATAAGGTTAGCGGCGCGTCATGTCATGTCGTGTCATCAGGCTTCAGGCTCGCGTTGGGTTGTGCAGTGATTCGCGCGTTTCTGGTTGAGGAAGTGGCAGTTCTGGTGTTGCAGTGAGCGTTGCCACTATCACAGTATAACTGGCAGAGCTGCTACTTGTAATTAGCCGGGAAAACGCTATCGTAGGAGCACTGCTTTTAAAACTGTGCATGCTAGCACTGGCCCCGTTACAAAGAGAGGAGTCATCATCCTTTGTAGTCGTAGGTTTTGCCACCAGCATCACGGGCAGAATAACTATAGCGGTCCTTGGATCCTCCCAGGAAAGGCCTCGGGTTTCGGATGGAGCTTACAACCCAAGGCCTTCAGAACAAGCAGCATGGTTCGTTGCGGATTCGTATGACCTTTCTACAACTGCAGGGTGCACACCCCAAGGGCGAGTTTCTAAGAACTTCGGCCTTCTGCTGCTCAGCGCAAGTGAAACCGAGTTGCGGTGCTTCGTCTCAGGCCACAAGGCCGTGACACGGAGTCGGGAGGATGCCGAGCAGCAGATGCTGAAGCCCGCGGCTTTCTCTTCTTCTCTTCGAGTTTTGCAGCTCCGCTTTTTCGCACTGGGGTTAAGAGAACGAATCAGCAGTTTTTGGGATGTATCAAAAGATTTAGAAACCAAAAAACAAATCCGGCCTGTCGCCAAAAAACAACAGAACAACAATAAAGAATCAAAACACGAAGAATAACAATAAACAAAGAACATAAACACAAACACAAAATGCCACATTTGCATAAATGCCTACAGCAGTAGTAGTAGCAGTAGCAGTAGCAGTAGCAGGAGCAGGAGCAGGAGCAGGAGCAGGAGCAGCAGCAGCAGCAGCAGCAGCAGCAGCAGTAGTAGTAGTAGTACGTAGGTAGGTAGTAGTAGTAGTAGTAGTAGTAAGTAGGTAGTAGTAGTAAGTAGGTAGTAGTGTAGGTAGTAGGAGTACTTAGTAGTAGTGGTAGTCTGAAGTATTGCAGCAGCTGATGGATCAATGCTGCCGGGACAAGTTGCTGCTAGACAACAGGGCAGACGGGAGAAGATGGCCCAAGTGCAGAATCAGCCCTATGGTGGACTGTAGCAAGTACATAGTTTCTTTTCTTGACAAGAGTTAGTTTCAAGTTTGCTGGTGTATCATGAAGATCTTGAGAGGCCAGCTTGCCGGCATACAAACAAAGCCCGTGCTGAGAAGTGGTAGTATGTGGTAGTATTAAGTAAGCAGTAGCAAGTAGTAAGCAGTGAGTAGTAAAGCGTAGTGGTGGTGGTGGTGGTACTAGTAGTATTAGGTAGGTAAGTAAGTAAGTTAGTCAGTTAGTTAGTAAGTAAGTAAGTAAGTAAGCAAGGTCCCATAAACCCTCTAGGGGGTGTGGCCTCCTCAGCTGTCCCACCAGGGGGCAGGGCGAGGTTGAATCGTGCGGGGTTACTGTAATTCTTTGACTTGCTCGTCTCCCCTTCTCTTGCTCTGCCATGTGCTGGGTGATATTGCTTGCTTTCATGTTTCGCACAAGCCCTGATAGGGTTTTGCTGGACTTCTGTGGGCCCCCCTTTCTAGAGTTTGGCTGGTTGTGGTTTGGTCGTTTTTTGTCGTTTGTTCTTGATGTTTCTACCTGTTCCTTGATTTCCAGTATCTGTAGTAGTTTCGAGCTCTTAACACTGGGGGGTTCCCTATTTTGGCGACTCCTGGTGTCACTCTACGAAACTGATGCTTTGAGTCAAGTTTTGGGGCCGACGTGTGAGACCCGAGATTCGGAATCCAAAAGGCGCGGATTCCAAGGTTCCGCAATTTCTTGCCAGTGTGAGTAGGATCCAAGAAAACCGTAAATTCAGAGGCCGTCGTTGATCAAGGGTTCTGCAATCCCGACCGAAGGCTTGCGGACGACTTCATGGCCGACGCTTGTGCGAGCTTCCCTAGTGTCTGCAGGCGCGGAGGGCATGTGTGTGGCGGTTACCCCCTCTTTGCCCCGTCACTAAACTGCAAGACTTCCAAGAATTCACCCCTGAACGCATGTTGAGTGCTCGGCCAACAGGTCAGTCTCCGAGTGCGCGTGCGGCACCTGGCAGGGCGGTTCCAGCCGGAAGGGTCTTAGGATCGGGGGCTTTTGAGGCAAGTCCCTCCACTGTCAAATCACTACGAGAGGATCCTGGAAGCGCAGCTGGAAGACTCCAAGCAGTGCGTCGAAAGCCTCATCACCCAGAGTTTCAACCGTTACACAGTACCTGGAGCTCTTAACTGCCGCGGTGTCCCGCCATGTAATGGAACCCATTTCTTCGGTCTCTACTCTGACTCGTTACTCTGTTTCGTAAAAAAGTCATAGTCGTCGTCTTCGAGTTGGGATGAACACACCCGACTTCCTTAGTTTCCCAGCACCTCTCCTTGAAGCGATTTCATTCCCAACGTCACCAACCCTAAACCCCAAAACCCTAGATCTCGCCTGGGAGCCGAGGTCTGCTTTGAAAGGCGGGCAAATGGCCGGAGACCTCGGTTGGGTCGACCGCCCGGATCCGGAAGCCCAGTGCCTGGGACTGACAAGTGTCTTCAGGACTTTTCGTATAGGGTTTAGGGTTAAGGGTCCCTAACAGTGTTCAGGCGATTGCACAAGTCCTGATGCAAAACGGGTTTAGGGACCCTTTTATTGTCTAGGGCCTTTTGTAGCCTGTTTTCGATTCAAGGCTGCAAGGTTTCTGGGGAATCGGCCCAACTGCGGGGTACCAGCCGCAGTCGGTGCTGCCTGCAAGGCTTGAACCCTGCAGCGCAGGAGACTAACAAAACCTTACACTCGTCTCCAAGGAGAGAGAGCCATTACGTAGTCCCCAATAAGGGAGCCGAACTCTTCCTGCGTAGCTTTGGACAGAAGTACGAGCTGGTATGAGGATCGCGACCACGACTTCTTGTTCTCATGACAGTAATGATGAAGCGCCACACCAACGAAATGCCTGAAACAAAAATAGGCTTTGCTTGTCTTCCCAATCTTGAACAGGTGGTTATGATCATGACAAGATGAGGATAAAAATTGTGATGCGGGGCTCTCTACCTATACACAATCCTGAGCCCTCGAAAAACAGCAACCGGGGAACCCGCGCAAAAACTTCAAGCTGGCCCCACAGTCAGGAAGCAAAAGCAAGAGAAAGACAAGGCTGGGCCAGCTTTCTATGTTTGTTGAAGTTTCGAGGTTTTGGCATCCTGAAGTTGGTAGAAGCTGAGCAACCAATCATGGCCCTTGACTTTGGGCGTGGAGTCTCGGGCTATTGTCAAGGATGTTTTCGCCATCTACCAAAGAGATGAAGGGTTTCTTATGTGCCTTGAGCCTCTCCAATTGCGCTCACAGAGATGGGGGACAGCTGTCCCCTCAAGTGATTTTAAGTGCTTGTTGCATGCCCAGTAGTGACAGTAGTGAATGTACAGCCCAAACAGTACAGGCCGTCAATTAGATGCCCCAAACTCCTGAGTGCTGAGACCCGAGCCCCTCGAGAGACCTTGCCTGGCATGTCCGAGTTGTGAGAGCGTAGCGCAGCAATCCCACAAAAATTCCCGAAAGCCCGAACTCTTTCAGAGGAAACACCAAGACCCCATTGGTGCGACGAAGCCAGGCCCCCCCTATCACCCGAAGGCCCTTAGCTGCCGCTGCCATCGCAGGCGTCTCCGAAGCTGCCGCTTCCCAGCAGCGTGTTGAAGGCGGCCGTGGAGCCCCTCAAAGCAAAGATGAACAGTCTTCTTACCTTTTAAGGACTATAGAAGGAAGAAATAAGTATTAAGCAATGCTGATAAGGGATTTTGGGTTTCGGAGTAGGGTTCTGAATAATTCTATCGGTTCAGGCCCTTCGACCATTAGGGTTGGCGGTGTGTAGTTTGGACTTCGGGGTTCAGCGCTGCGGAGCATGTTCGGATTTGCGGCTTGGGCGTCCGCGATGTTAGGAGTCTTCATGACTAGCATCCGGCCAGTTGGGCTCAATATTCGGGGGTCCTGTTGCAAGTATGTTGGAGCTTCGGGATCCAACACGCTGTTTTGAGGAACCCGCTTCATCCCTGCAGCGTAAACTGTTCAGGTGCCTTAAGGAGTTCGGTTGACTAAGAAATGCTAGAGCCTTCGCTGCCGGCTTTTGAGGCAACTGCAGTCTGGGGGTTGAACCTTTTTGAGGAGTTCTGAACCAATTCGATTCAAGCTCGCTATGTTGCCTCCCATCCCGGCTTTGGATGTTTAGGCTTTCGTTTTGTCCGCCGAGAGAGAAAGCCTTCATATCGAGCCAGCTGTCATGCCCGAGTTCCGAAAATATGGAACTCTAACTCAGACTCAGATGCGTAATATAAGTACTAGCTAAACAGGTGGGCATTTTGCTACTGGTAGCGATGTAGGAGACATCCCTTTCAACATCAACTCTTCATATTGAAAAGAGGATTGAGTTGGTGCCCGAGGGAATTACGGCTACCGGCAGAATGCTAGCCTACCATGAGCCGAGCTTAACCAGAAAAAGGCTGTGCATTATGGTAAACTGGAAAACACCACGCCCAAACCTAAAATCCCAGGCTCGGCATCGGAGAGCTGGGGGATGTCCTCACCTCCGAGATCGGGGAGCTTCAGCTACCATTGGCCGGACATGTCGTCAAGGTTGTTAAGATACTTCGGCTTGCAGGCCACAGGGTGGGAGTTGCAGCTGGGCAGTGGCTGAAAGAGAATCCACATGAGCTCGCATGTTTGACATAAGTGGCCATGAGAAGACGAATCGCTTGGCTTCACAGCAGCACCTCTTGCAGAAGCCTCCAATATTGTCCAAGGTGCACCTGGTGCAGCGCACGGACGCCGGGCCAAGTTTATTCAGAGTTAGGGACGGAGATTTTTCTACGTGAAGGACGCGAGGTGGGAGGAGGGAGGAGAATGAGCTTTAGGCATAGATGGCTCAGAGCAAGAAATGAGCACGTTGAACTACAAAGTAACTACTGATAGCCGAAAGGCAGGGAAACCACGACACGATCACAATCCTAAACAGTGAAACTGAGTCGAACCCCCCACTCAACCGGGACCCCTCTACTTTTGTAGTGTGCATGTGGGAACTTAGTTGTTGAATGTTATTGAAAGTTACTAGCAAACCAAACCCAAGAAGTGGTTGCAGAGACCAGCAGAAGCAATAATAGCGGGCAGAGGCCCTTACAAGCAAGTCCGGCAAACTCAGCAGCCGAGGCGTGACAGCGGAGACCTTCCGTGAGTTCGCAAATTTGCCCGAAGCCCGTGCATCCACACTTGTCCTTGTTCTCGTAAGTTGCCAAGGCAATATTTGCAAGCGAGGCTTTATTAATAGAACTGGTGAGAAGTGACAGCTTCGTGCGGATGCGCAATCGACCGTGCTACTGCCGTCCTGAGCCGCCCTTGCACCGAGCGACAGAAAACCTTGGTCTTTCAACACACCCAGCTCTCAAAAATCTCTGAACGAGGTACAGGCCAAGCGTCCAAGAGCATTTCTGGTGGATTAGCAGGCTCTCGCCTTTACCAGACTTCTAGGAAAGCGCAGCAGCCAGGGCTGGTGCCGGAGGGTCCGTTTCACAGCTCGAACGCTCGGGTGCTCCTTGCTGGAAAGCTTTCTAAACCTGAGGGACAGGCTCTCAGAGCAAGGGGTTGCACCGGTGCAGGTGCTGAGATCTTTTTCCAGCAAATACTACTCCAAGTTTTCATTTCTGCATCAGGGTAGGCGGATTCTGTTACATACAAGTATACCATGATATATGTTTGAGACAAGATGGCAGCAAGACCTGCGCAGTCTGCACGGGGCACTCGTGAGTTCGTGGCGGTCAAAGCAGCGAGTGGTGCAGGCTTTGGCGCGTGGAAGTGGGTGTGGCAAAAGCACGGTCCAGCCGTCGTCGATCTTGCCCCCCAAAACGGGTCTTCTGAAAGGCCCGAAGCCAGTCCGAAGACGAGCCTCTCAACTGCCATGGGGGGAGCTTGATTCCGTGTTTGGCCGTTCCGTCAGCAATCCTGCACCCTCTCCACTTCCACAAATCCACGCGTTTTGATCTCACGCTTTGCCCCGAAGCTCGGTTCACGAACTGACTGATGCAGGCAACAAGCCTCTCCAGGGTGGGCACGCACACCAGCTACTTGGATCTCTCGTAGCAGGGTTGGGGGGGTGGGAGCACGAAGACCAAAAATTAAGGTTCCAAGATGCTGAACTGTTTCTCGCCTGGCTTCCGCCCTTCGTCAAAGAGCGTGCTTTACTTTTCCTGTTTGGGATTGTTTGTACAGACAACATTGGGGGTGCAAGTTACGGTTTAGACGCACAGGTCTCCACATCTCGACTTCTGAACCAGAATCGTGGGATTCTGCATGTCCGAAGTTCGAAGTCCAAAATAAGGTGACTTCTGCACTCGCCACTTGGAAAGCACAGAGGAAGCAAAGCTTGAGAAGTTATCTCACAGGAATGACTGCGAATGATACCAGGCACGTAAACTGGGTATAGTGTGTGGAAGCCGTCGATGGCTACTTGAGAATCCAGAACGTCGCAACCGTAGCCCAGAAACAATACTGGCACAATCTGGCTAGCGGAAGGCGGAGGTCTTATGCACAGGCCTCTGCACCGGAAGGAAAACGTCATCTCGCAGCCCGTGATACGGGCTGAGCTGATTAAGGTTACCGGTAATGACACTGTAATATCAGCCTGTCATTAGCTACAGCAACAAATTTGCCACGTCCAGCTAGAGAACAGTACCGGTTTGCGCTGGGTTGTCAGAAGCCAACACAAGGGCCTCCTTTGGAGGCATCGAAGCCGGGATCTCAGACCATGAGCTTAGCTAGGATTTTCGGGATCAGATTGCAAAATAAGCAGTTTCGAGCTTTGGGGTTTGCGTGTTCGGAGCTTGGGGTGAAGCGGTTAGGGTTGGTGTTTGTGTGGAGCTGGGGGGTTGAGCGTTTCGCGATTGCCTTGGTGCTGTCTTAGACCTCCGATCCGATTGCCGAACAGCTTGCCCTTCCGAAGGATCCTAAGCTACACCAGCTAGACTTCAGACACCGTGTGGCGGAACTCAAAAACCCACAGACCCTTACACGGGCCCGCGGAGAGACTGGTCGTTTTCAAAGTTTCGCAGTCTTGAATACTGAATGCCAGCAGCCCGGACCTCGGTTCAAGATACCCATATCTCAAAGCTACCCAAGCCACGCCGTACGCAAAAGCAAATGCAAGCAATTTCAATGTGTTTGTATACACCAACATGTAGCTAGGTAGGTGCTCGCCGATAGGTAGGCAGGTACATACACGCATGATCAAGATGGTTTTGCTTTCGGTGTGTCTTGAGTGCAGGCGCATCAGCACGTGCACGCGGAGTTTCGGAGCTTCAACGAACCCTCGAACCTCGAAATTGTCTGAAACCCCCTTCTAATCCGAACAACCTCATAGCAGAGTAGCAGAACCCTGAAGCCTCAAAAGGCTGCTGCTGAACCGGCGGTATGAGGAGTTGAACATCCCAAGACGGGCACCATTCCCAAGAGATAGGGTTCATTTTCTGGGTGGCGTGTCTTTGGATGCTTTTGAGAACCTGTCCTGGCTTTCAGGGTGTAGGCTTCAGGCCGCTTGCGGCTGGGCTCAGGCCTCGAGGGGTTCGCTGGTTGGAGCTGCGGTGTTTCGAGTTTTCCGCGTTCGAATTCGAGGCTTTTCGGAGGTTTGAAAAGGGGTTTCAAGCCGAAGTCCTGAGCCCTGAAACTCTTCCACGAGTCGCCGGGCCCAACTTCTTGTCTGCTGATGGCAGAAGTCCGAGGGGCTAATGGGAAGCTTGGAGCACAAAGCCCAAAGCAGCGCAGGCCTCGCTAGGAGGAATTGGTAGAAGTTCAGCCGAGCCCGGGCATGAGTTTGCAGTTTGACTCTGCAACCCCAAAGATCAAGCCGATGTGCTAACAAGACCAATGACCTAGACCGGTTCGCACTGGGGAGAGGGCCCGTGAATCCCCAACTCCAGATGCTTGCTTGACCTGGCTGGACCGGGTGGTGAGAGCGTAAGTGCTTGACTCCTGGTAGGCGGCCGACTTCCGAGCCGAGACTGATTGGAGGATACAGCTCAGGCTTGCAGCTTCGGGGCTTTGGAGGCTGCGGGTTTCACTTGTTAGTTTGGGGGTTCACAATGAGGCTTGACCAGTGGATCGCTTGTCTTTCATACGGTCGATGCCGAGAGCATTATCGCAACATCTACATTTGAGGGATATGCTGAGTTGTTGTCTCTACCGGAGGCTACTGTACCATAATTCATCTTTATTGGTACTGGTAACTTTCGTGACGGATTGGGGCGGTGCAAGTCGCCCATGCCCCTACACATCTGAAGAGGCTCGAAGTGTTGCTTCTGCGAACTGACACCTTTCGTTCCGGCCCTTGTACCGACATGCACTTTCAGCACTTGTCGATGTGTATTGCCATGGCGGTTTCCGCACCCCTTAGTCCCTACATTGGGGCCTCGGCTCCCCAAATCGATCAACCTCTGCTCATGCAGGCCGTTCTCGCCGGAGAGGGAGCGAAGGCTCTCTGGATGCGCTGTTGTTGTCAGCTGTCCGGGTTCGATTATTATTATAAGTCGCTGGCTCATGGTTCACCGCAGCAGCAGAATTATTAGAAGAAGTGGTGGTAATAGTAGTAGTAGTAGTAGTAGTAGTAGTAGTAGTTGTTGTTGTTGTTGTAGTAGTAGCAGTCGTCGTCGTCGTAACAGAAGTAGTAGTCGGGGTTGCGGGGGAGGGGGCGGTGGGGAGGGGGGCTAGCCGCAGAGCATCCGCGTCGGAACCGTGATAACGTTTCACGTCCTGTTCCCACAAAATGTTCTCAGGCGCCCATCTCGCCCAGGCGGAGGAAGTCTTAGACTGCTGCTCCGATCTACACTGTCCCATGGTGTCGTCTTCCTCGGCATCTTGAGTTTGCCAGAATTGCTCACGCACACGGCTCTACCACGGCCAATGCAGCTGCCACTGCGACTGGCACCGGTACCACTGCCAGTGCCAGCTCAAGCAAGCCTGTACCACCCTCGATGTGGAGTTGTTAGAGGTTCAGACTCAGCTCTTCTCCGGTCTACTCTACTCCTCGCCCCGACACCGGCACCCACCCAACAACACAGAATTGAGTGGCCAACCCTAAAAATTTGTCCGTGAGAATCCGTGGGCGCCCGCATGCTCAACAAGAGTAGTAGTATGGTATACCATGCCAGCCACCTGCTACTGTTTTTCTAGTGAAGTATACTACATTGTAAGTGGGGCGGGTGCTATTGGCAATGGTATAGTATAGAAGACTACTGGCACATGCAATTTGGCACCCCAACGTTTATACCTCACCTCGATGGTTTTGCAAATGCCATTCCCCTCCCCAGCCTCCATTCATTGTGTAAACAGGGAAGGAGCACATCTGAACAATTCAGTTTCCCAAAAGCCGATAAACACCAACAGCTGGAAGCAGCATAGTGCCTAAATTGAACTCCTAAGTCTGAGCAACAATGCTCTCAATGATCCTGGCTGCTATGACGTTCAAAAGAAAGCTCTTGTGCCTATGCCTTTCAGCCGGGTCCTTCGGAACCCCTACCTGCTTGGTTGCGATCCACACGATTACGGAAGACTCACCACACAACTCATCAACTGGGAGGGTAGCACAAGCCCCAACCCGGGG